AGAAATTTACCCTATGACTTCTCAGAAATGATAGATCAGATGGATAAAGAGATCCCAGCGAGGATACAGAAGATTTGAACAAAACAATGAACAAGCTTGTTCTAGCGCTTGTAAACACAGCCCTGCATCCACTGACTGCAGACTATGCCTCAAGCACTCGTGGCGGTGCGGTACAAAGACTGAGCGCGTGTTTTGCTATAAAACATCCTTCAAAACATTCCAAGGTCTTGATATCCCAGGACCACTTTCTCTGACAGTGAAGCAATGTTACTAGAAAGTTCTACCACAGTAATAGCAATGATGAAAACCACATAGTTATGCTGCCATGGCATAACTCTTGGAATAAACAAGAGATGGTGGAGATTAGAAAAATACACCATAAGCAGATGAAAGCGAAAGCAAAGCACTATCGAATGCGGGGGGCCTGGTGCAGCACTGTGCGCCTGTCACCCCTGTGACTGAGGAGACTGAGGCAGGACCTCTTGAGGCCAAATGGAGCTACATAGTGAGATGCTGGCTCAACAAAAGTGGTGTGTGCCTTTCCAGGGCTACTTATGGGGAAAAAAATTATAGTGTGAATGCTACAAATAGCTATCATGCTTCACAGGCCTCAAAAATCTAGAAAATCCGGAGATTAATAATTATCTAGCTTAAGAAGTTAGAGAGAGAAAAACATATTAAGGCAAAGTGATTAGAAGGAAAGAGAGATAAACAGAAGTGAATAAGCAAGATAAAAACCCACAGGTAGGAAGATCCACAAAGCCAAAAGTTCGGTGAAAATAGCAGCAAAACTGGAGCGCACACGGCGGGCTGGGTCACCGTGGGAACCAGTGCGGTGCTGATAAACGACAATGGGGGTAAGAGAGGAGGCAAAATACAGAAGCCACTAATACCAAGTAAACACCAACAAATTGAAAACCAAGATAAATGTACAAACTCCTCAGCTCTGCTGCTTATCAAAACTGACACAAGAAGAAATAAAGAGCCCTAGTAGTTCCTAAACCTCAGATCCCTGTAATCAGTAGTTTAAAATGTTCTCACAGAGGAAACCACAGTCTGGATGGTTTTTCCTTGAAGTTCTAACAAATATTTGAGAGATAAAATCTCACAGAAAGTATTCCAGGATTGGTGGGAACACCTCACTGCTTAATCTGTGAGACACCACAACTCAGCAAAGATGGCAGAACAGGATCACCTGGATTTGGGCAGCACTTAAGACTTATATGAGATGTGAGAGATGAGGTAGGGAAGTCTACAGTGATATTTATATAACTAATCCCCGAGTCAGAGAACGTGAAGACCTGGGCTTAGCAAATACTCAGCTAGAGAGCAAGGATGGAGCAGGGTCCAGGGAATGGCCTGGGATGACAAGGTCTCAGGGCGTAGCTGGTAGGCCTCAGGGATAGACGAGAATCCCAAAAGGCAGGTGGTGGAGGCTGGGTGGTATCCTCAAACAGGAAATAAGTATGCATGGCCTGGCTTCTAGGACAGATCTAGGCAGAAGAAGTGCTGGGTGCTGGGGCCTTTCCCCTCAACCCATGCTCCTTGCCCCGAGATGCCCTGTGAACAGGGTCTGGAAACTAGAGCTCCCCTGTGTCCAGCTTTGAGCCACAAACATTTCCTGCAGAAACCAAGAAAGTCAGTCTCTTGGCCCCACTGTGCTCTGCATATCAGCACGACAGTGTGAGCTTGGCTTGTAAAATAAACACTGCAGCAAGTCCAGGTCCAAGAAGAGCTAAGAACACTATGGGGAAGGTGTGGGTTCTGAAGAGAGCCAGGGTACCCTAGGGAAGCCTAGGTAGGCCAGGCATCAGTAGTGGGGGGAAGGAGCTAGACTCCTGGGTTCCTATTACAGGGATGACAAGGTGGCTTGTACCATCTTGAATTGCCATTAGCCCTGACTACTTTAGCTAGTGGACAAGGACACTGCCCCTACCCAACCTTGGTTCTCAGAGTTGATTTTAGCTTCATTTCCAAAGGACTATCACACTTCTGAAATGTTCTTCTCTTATTCACATCTGACTGCTATAAGGGCCAGCTTGTTGTATAACTAACTGTGTGACAGGAGACTGCTGGATTTCTAGAATAAAACATAATCAATGACCAAAGCAGAAAGTGTTTAGTGGCTACATGAAGGTTGCCCATGGGCATGTTCTCCCTGGTATGGGTCCCTGGCCTGGACCTTAGGAAATTCCTGGTCAGGAACCAGCTGGCCTCCCCTATGAAGCCCTTATAAGTAGACATCCCACATTTCTTTGGTCCTTAGCTTGATCCTCTCCTCTAGTGGGATTCAGCTGTTTGTGAGTGGGGTTCAGCCCCTGTGATGTGGGTGGCCTATGGTGGGACACACTTCACAGCTGAGGGACTAAGCTGAGTTAGGCAAGTTGCTGGGCACTAGAGACTTGACTTTGGCCAGTCTGTAGCTGGCCTGGAGGGATGGGAGGGAGGGGCTGTCAGCAGGGAAGCCCAGGGGCTCTGGCTGGGCTCAGCCAGGCTGGCTGGCACTGGCTCTGTTCTGGGACTGCTGGGCTCCCAGGGATTTCCTGTCCCTTACTTCCCAAGGTCAGCAGGATTGCGCTTGGGTTGTTTCTGGTCCCGATGGTTACGTTGATAACTGCGATAACGTGGGGCCCGGCCATGCCATCGTGCCCTCTGGGCCCAACAAAGCTTTTTCCCAGGGTCTGTCCCCACAGGGGGCAGTGGTCCCGGACAAGGGAGGGACTGGGCAGGCTGCCATAGGCTGTTTGGGTCAGTGCATCTTGACAGCCTCTTGATGTACAGTGGGGGTCCAGGCTAGAGCCCTGGGAGGAGCCTTGGTTCAGTGTGACCATGGCCTTGTCAGAAGACCCACTCCTCCATCTTAACCATCTTGAGGTAGGGAGTGAAAGTGAAAAGCCCATTAGGTGTTTGCTACAGGATCCCAGCATTCTTGACAACCTGGCTCAGAGCCCAGACAGGGTCAAGGTCACCAGGACCTCTGAGCATCGGCCTAGTTTTGTTCCTAAACCTTGATCCCAGAGACCATGGGTTCTGGAAAACCAGTTCTTTGTTGTTCTGATCTGATGAAGTACTGGCACATACTTCTGCCTCTGCCCCTGCTCCTGCTCTTGGGTCAGTACAGGTTCCACCATGGTCATATAAAGCTGTGACCTGGTTCTTAAACCCTAGACTGCTGCTAGGCAGCCATATATTAAGCGGGAAAAGAGGACACTGATTTTAGGAGCTATTCTCTATCATCTCTGTCACTTACAAGAGACACCAGGTTTCTGGTCTGGGCTTGAGGGATAGCCTGTCCTATAGGTAATGGGCAGAAGGAGAAAGCTAAAGCAGTTTGTATGGAGTAGGAATTTGTGGTGGAGAAATTTTCCAGGACTGGAGTTAGTAGACTGCCTTTAAATTTCTGGGCTAAGAAGGCTCACATACCTAGGATATGGTTGGCAGTACCCAGGAGTTAGGGGACTATCTTGATTCCTGTCAGCAGTTATGAGTAGTCAGCAAAAGTGGCCTTGACCAGGTAAGAGTTGTGGCTATCTGAGGAGGTGTAGGGGACTCAAACCAGGGTGTCTGTCACTAGTACAATGGGCCCATGTGCAAAGAGAATGGAAAGCCAAGGTTATTCCTTGATCCTATAGACAAATAACAAGGTTCCTAAACCATTGCTGAGCTTAGGCCTTGTGAGTTGAACACTCTTAAGTATCTTTTCCATCCGGGCAGACATGTACAATCTCTGTTCTCGCTGGGTGGCCTGCTGATGGTGGGCCATAGTACCTCCCTGCTCAGGCCTGGGATGCTACAGTTTAGACCAGGCCCTATAGTGAGACTCAGTGTTGGATATATACACCTCAGGGTTTCAGAGAGTATCTGGAGCCCAGACCATGGCCCTTTCATTTATTGGCCACAGGGCTCCATGGTGGCCCCAGGCTGGGGACATTTGTGCCAGCAAGGAGTAGGGAGGCTTCAAAGCCTTATCCTATGTGGGCCAAACTACCCTTGCCTACCTGCTCAGTTGCAGCCCATATTGAGAGTCAGAGCCAGATGTTGCTAGAGCAACCCGGCAACAACCACACTCACCACTCAACTGAAATTCCACTATTTTTAGCTTCCTAGTTATGTTCAGATAAAATCCATGTATACAGACTTGGGTTGTCTGGCAAGATAACAGCACACCTCAAACTGCAGAGACTTCAAAAGAGTAGCAGTGGGTTATACCATGTGCCCAAGAGAGGTTCTCCTATGAATCAAAGCCTCCAGTGGCTCATGAAAGATAGGATGGTGGGCACAGAAGCTGGGGGGCAATGGAGTAGCCTAATTGTCTAGCTAATGTCAGCTCTGACAGTTTGGAACATAAGATTGTGGGAAGCCAGAGCACAAGGAGCAGCAGCACTCTACAGGGTATGTACTCTACCGTATGTGGGAGCCTACAGTAGTGGATACTAAAAATAGCCTGGCCAGGCAGAGCCAGTGTAGCCTAGCACACTAACTTGAGCTGGATCTACTCCACCAGTCAGGTCCAGGATAAGTAGAGGCTGACACCATCCAGGAATCCACCCCAGCCAGGTTCTGAGTCTTCTGAAGGTTTGGCCTGTCCAAAGCAAGGACCTTAGACAACTGGCTTATTTGGAGGCTGGTGTCAATCTGGTTGCAGCCACCTCCTGGCTAAGACACAACCAGGAGGCTCTTAGAGCTCTAAGGGTAAGGAGTGGAGGGGGAAAGCCAGGTCATGTTTAAGGCTTCAGTGCTTTGTAATCTCACTTCTTCCTTTTCAGGGCAGGGGCAGGGCTACAGACCTTGGGACACCAGGCAGAAGCAGCCAATAGGTAGGTAGGCTTCTGACTTTGCAGGCATGCAATTGTGAAGTGTATTGCCCAGTCACCATGCATAGTGCTTCTCAAGAATGTCATTGAGGAGATCAGAGGCGTGTAGCGCTAAGTAGGGCACTTGGGGTACTGTACTGGCCAAGGACAGCAATCAGACCTGACAGAGTTGATGCAGAAACCTACCTTGTCTTCCACCCTGTTCAGACGGGCCCCGATGGTGTTGCTGCCACGGTCTTTGCTCTTTTCTATTGGGTAAAGCACAAAGTCAGCGGTCTGGGCTGTGGGTGTGGGCTCAGGAGCCTAGGGAGCAGGAGACGGGGTAGGGGGGGAGTGGTGAACGCTTGAAAATACAAGATGTCCTTTAAAATTCTCTTGTGGCTGGGACACTAGGGGTTGAAGGAAGGAGATAGTATAATGACGGAGTCTATCTAGGCTCCAGACTTGCTCCTCCTGGCTTTGGAACACCTGAGTATCTTCTAAGTGGGACAAAGCACTCTCTATCCAGGGGCTGACTCAATTGATTTGTGATACTTACTGGGCTTGGTCACATTACCAGGCCAGGGTGTCTGCTGCTTCTGTGGTCCCCAACATTAGATTATGCCCCATAGTCCTGTTTGAATCTCAGTTAGCCTTGTCACCAGGAATGTGCCTTGCTTTGTCCTTCCCTGGTGTGGCTTAGCCCCTTGTCTGGATGACCTGAAGATTCCCACCAAGCTAAGAACTAGCCCATACCATGTCATTATACATTCCTGAACACCTCAGCCAGGAAGCAGCCCCTACTCCATCATGGCCCCTGAAACTTTGCTTATCTGACCCATGCTTCATCCCAGGTCCTTCTACCACAGGAAAATGGGCCCTTGGTTCTAAGTAGCATACACAGAGTTTGGCCATGAGGCTTTATAAATCTATCATTTAGAGGGACACAGTGGGCTCTGTCATCACTAAACATCCCTTTATGTCTAAACATCCCTTTATGTAGACTGTTTACAGCCATTTTCCCTAACCTGGGGTCTGTATCTTCTGGCTTTTACACAGGAGGCCCTAAGGAAGATGAGAGACAGACAGGAACAAGAAAGAGAATCCCTTGTGGACTTCCCTGTCTAGGTACCAGTGTGAACACCCACCTGAGATAGGGATGAACAAAGATGGCTTCCCAATGGACTGATCCAGCCTGGAGAGAAGAGAGGGACATGAGCTCATACAATGACTGAGGCACCACAGAGACAGGCCATAATGTCCAGGAGGACAGACAGCATGACACCCACTCCAGGGTTATCTGCTACTGCCTCTCCAAGACCCCTCAAGAGGTACCCAAGGTACCCACCAAGGCCCTATGGGCTCATACTCATGAGAAGGCCAGGCAGGAAGTTTAAAAATGAGGAACAGAATCTGGGCTATGTAGGCTTCCCCTCTAGATGAGGTGAGTATAGAGTCAAAGCAGGGAGGTCTTGAACCTTTGACCTTGTCTATGGAAGGGACAGTCATAGTCTCCCAGCTGTACTCCAGGATATACGGAGCTAGGTCTGCAAGCTAGCTCATGAAGCTAGCCTCCTAGATTCAAACCTGTGCTGGGCCCCAGGGACTTTGATGGAAATAGGATTCAAGACCATGTTGGCTCTAAATGGTCAGAAACCTTAGCTCCACCCCAGTAGCAGGAAGATCTATGGATTGAGGGGTGACCTAGAGGTAGAGGTCACTAAGAACTCTTTCTTTCCCTGTGGAGTTGGGGCAGGGTCTCCTGGGATCATCTCTTCCAACCCAATTCTGTGCTCACCTTCTCTGTAGTTCTTTAATGCGCACCATAAGGTTGAGGTGGCCCTGCGAGTACTGCTCGATGACATCCCGCACATCATAGGGCTTTCGTGCTTGCTGCAGGCCAGAAAGACATGTGTCACTTTCTCCTGAATCCTGTATGCTCAATTCTAAACACAGGCAGTGATGGAGTGGGGCACAGTGATAGGGAGGAACGGCTTAGAACATACATAGTAGCAGGCTTGACTCCCAAAGGCTGCCAGTTTAGCTTGTTTGGGCTTTTCTCTTCTGTCAGTTCACTGGTAGGACTAGCCAGCTCCTACTGGCCCTCTCTGTTCCAAGCCTCCTCAGGAAGAGTTGGCCTAGTGGCTAGAGACATGGTGCTGCATCTCCACAGTTCATCTGTGCCCTAGACTGACTGTTGACACACTCGCTGCTTCTCTGGGAGTGGAGACAGAACAACATATGTCCTAGATGTCTCACAATGCCACACAGACTTTCCATAAGACAGCCTAGCTCCCATGAAGGAAGGACCTGCCATGTTCAGGGCCGTTCTAGGTACCAGGGTCACCACATCTTCTGTGGCCTACACACCCAGGGACTATTGTGTCCAAGCTTGGGATGACACTTAGGCAGATCCTTGGTCCCGGACATATGTCACTTATGAAATTCTACTAAGAACTACATACTTGATAGTCTCCAGGTCTTACTATCTTCTATAAGACAGAGCTACAAGCCCCAATCCTCCCTTCTCCAAGATGAGTTTCTGAGCCTTGTTTCTGTCTTCTGTAAAACAGGATATGGAGTCTTGTTCCTCTTTCCTGGAAAATGGGTTGTTGAAGTCTACACTGCTACTTCTAAAAGAGACTGAGAATAAAATAAGATCTAAAATGAGAACTGTCAAGGAATCCTGATGCAGCACCTTGTCAGTCAGAGGTGGTCATGACTGAGTCCAGGGCCAGACTCCCTCCTTAGCGCACACTGAAAGGGATCCTAAGTAATAGGGGAGAGATTTGTGGGAGAAAATGCTTTATAAGGTGTGTGGCCCCTCTAGGCATGCCTGGTGACATATGAGGTAAATGAGCAACAGACGCAGAAACTATAGTTTGAGGCAGTGCAGGCCTGGATCAGGATCTGTTGGCCTGTGGATGCCCTGAGAGTCTGAGAGCCCAAGTGAACATGGATAACTCTGCCAGCCTCTGCAAACATACATGTTTTAGAATATGTAGTGGGGAGATGTGAGTATGCCAGCCTGCAGGAGGGTGGGGGTTGGGGGGAGGCTGTAAGCAGGGAATGGTTAAGAAAGGTCAGAGAGGGGGGCTGGAGAGATGGCTCAGCGGTTAAGAGCACTGACTGCTCTTCCAGAGGTCCTGAGTTCAAATCCCAGCAACCACATGGTGGCTCACAACCATCCGTAATGAGATTGGATGACCTCTTCAGGTGTGTCCGAAGACAGCCAGCGACAGTGTACTCATAAATAAAATAAATAAATAAATCTTTAAAAAAAAAAAAAGAAAGGTCAGAGAGCTGGCCAGTGGTGGTACACGCTTTTAATCCCCGCACTCAGGAGCCAGAGGCAAATGGATCTCTGAATTCAAGGCCAGCCTGTCTACAGAGTAAGTTCCAGAACAGCAGGGCTACACAGAGAAACTTGGTCTCAAAAATCCAAAACCACAAAACAAAACAAAACAAAAACAAACCAACCCAGAAGGATCAGAGATACCCTATCAACCAACCACCCATGGTGAGCAGCACTCCAAGCCTGCTGAGACTTGTCTTGGAGCCACTAAGCTCCCATTTAGGATCTGGTTGGGGATTGAGGAGCCTCTGTCAAATATTTGCATAGGGCTAGTGTAAGAGACCATCTTAGCTTTCTCCCTGGGTGTTGGGAGACGACTCTTAGCCCAAAAGCGGCTATCATCTTTACAGCCATTTCGAGCCATATACCCTGACAAGAGACTTGTTTTCAACAGCCGGCAATAGCTGAGCACACTCTGATAAACATCTTGTTACACTGTTTAGTGCCCCCAGCTGCAAGGTGCATGTGGTATCCATGGCTACAAGGCACGTGACGTAGTGCCGTCAGCTGTTCTTGGCCATGTGGGCAAGTCACATGGTAAAGGGTATAAATACCCAGGATTTCCTTTCAATAAAAGAGACTTGATCAGACTCTGTCTTGTATCTATCTTTTGCGTCTCTGGCCCCTCCATCCTCTCTCTCTCTCTCTCTCTCTCTCTCTCTCTCTCTCTCTCTCGCTAGACCCTGACATGTGGACCAGAGCAGCAGAACGGGCCGTTACAAAGGAACGGGCCGTTACACCTGGGCCAATGTCCCCTGGTGGTAGCAGAAGCCAGTGATGAGCCAGATAATGCGACCTGTCCAGACTGATTGGCTGTGGACATGGGTGCTCAAGACATTGGCCAGACACAAAGGCGGCTGGCCAAGGACTTTATCGGCCATCAAGGCAGGTGGGCAATCTCAGTCAGGCCAGTAGGGTGGGTGGAGAGCAGATGGGTGGATGGCTGAGGCAAGAAGGCTGGGTCACCAGGGTGGCCTGGAAGCCTTGTGGAGCCCTCCCCACAGGAGCTCCCTCTTTAACTACCTCACTCTTTCCTGGAGGCCTGCCACCACCTGTCCATGTGTTCCCAGGAATAAAGCCAGCTCATTGTGGAGCCCTTACTTTTCTCTACATAGAAGCCTCTGTACCCCACAAGGCCCCTCTGCCACCTGGACTAAGTGTATGGGTGAAAAGCAGAGAGCTGGATGGTAGGAGATGTTTGGCCTGTTCCAGAAGTTTCCTGAGCCATTCTTAGGACATTGGCTAATGTCCTGAGGCATGAAATAAACTGCAGGGCTCTGGGTCCCTTCTTCCTCAGCCTCAAACCATGTCATCAGGCAGGTCCTTTGTTAGTGACTTAGAAACTGGGTCTGCATAGGCCACTAAGATGACCTCTGACTCAAAGGGACCATAAGGGTCCCTGTGTTTCACTAGGGCACCCAGAGTCTAGAAGTGAACCCTAGAGAGCCATGAGCCTACCTACCACAACCCCATTCAACTTAGCAGTTCCTATACTGTTTCATGTGGAACCTCCTCCGTTACCTGCAGAGCCTACTTCTCTCAGCCTGGAGACCACCATCAGCAAGCAATTTCTCATGACCCTTTAAACACTAGCAACGTAAGCTACACCACTTCCTTGTAAGAGTGTCACACCCTAGCCCTACTTTTCCCTGAGAGATTGTCTTGTCACGATGTGAATCCCCATGGGGTTCCTATGCTTCCTCGCCAAGCTGGGATGAGCTGGTTCTACAGGAATGCATCTCCCTATCTCTCTTGGTGTCTCAGCAGTGGGACTGGAGGTCACATGGCTTCTAGGTAGGGGGAGGAACAGCTTTAAGTGCAGTCTCTGTGGGGCCTTTGGACCCTTCTAATCCATTTCCAGGTGCTTCCTGGCTCTGGCCCCTGCTGAGTGTGACCTTTACTCCTTTTGACAACATGAAGTCCCTAGGTTTTCCGGAGCTTGAGCATAACTTGGTCTACTTGTTGTGACGGTACCAGTGGGTGCAGGCTAACAAGTGTACAGCAGAATGTCACCATGGTACTGCTGAATGGGCACAGGGTCCCTCCAGGGTGGCAGTGAGTAGCTAGGGTGAGAAGCCACTGGATGCGGTCATTAGTGTGGCTGTTCTTAGGGCCACAACAGTTGAGGAGCTGAGGACTACAGTGAATGGGACTCATGTCACCCAAGGCTCCTCTCAGTACAATGATGACAACTCGGGATGGGGACTATACCTTAGCCCCTACCTCCTGCAGAATCTAGAGGTTTTAGCTGCCCCAGGGCTGGGGTGGGGGCTATGCTGAGGGGATAGTGGGAGCTTGTGTCAATCTCATGGCCTAGTGTGGTAGGCGTGGTCTATAACAGGGCACAGGGCTACCACTGAGATTGTCCTTGGGCAGGCTATACTAAGGTGGGTTGCCCCAGCCTTCTCTGCCCAGTGACAAGGGCTTTCCAGTAAGAGAATGCCCTCTAGCACTTGCTGCTCCTGCTGACATGTTCTCAAAGTGAGGCATAAGGCTCTCCTCCCCATGACTTCTGCTCACAATTGTCCCTGAGTAGAGGAGAAGCGTAACCTGCTGCCTTCAGGATCTCAGGAGAACAACTCTGGAGGTGTGCTGATACTATATGGATCCCAGAGCTGCAGTCTTGCCAGCTCAGGAGCCTCTGTTCACTAAGCAAGCCCTCAGGATGGATAGCTCCAAGCTAGCCGAGAACAGATGTCACTTCCTGTCCAGGTGATATTGCCAGGCTGTCAGTATCACAGTCTTGCATGGCAGAAGAAGTACTCCTATAAAGTTACTTCTAACTATCAAGGTATAGTGAGTGAGAAAGGGTCCCTGGGCCAGGTCTGGGTAGAGTGCCCTTGGAGGAGCCTGATGTTTTGGGGAGTGGTAATGATTTAAGGGGTACAGTCACAGCACGTTGGTGTCTAAGGGTGAGGGCATACTACTACTGTAGTCTTCTCAGGATCAATTGCACTGGGCATGGTCTTACCTGAAATTTCTTCTTGGCTACAAAGTACTGCATGCGCCTGATGACCTTGATGGTGGCCCGATGGTGATCCCGCAGCCTGTGGAGAAGGAAGGGCAGAGTGTGAGCAGCTTTCATGTTGGTAACCCCACAACACATGTTAAAGGTACCCCTGCCAAACATGGATAGCCTCTCCAGAAACAAGAACATTCTACCCAGGGCTTGTTCTGTCTCTAGAGAAGCTGGAAACAAGGAGTTTCTACAGGGGAAAGGGAGGGCTACCTCCCACAGATGGGGAGAATGACTCCTTTCCTGCTTGAATCTCAGAAGTTGGGTGGCTGTCTGTACCCCTAGTTTGCAAGGGTTGCCACTCCAACAGCAGAGTCAGGGAATGCACTTGGAGGAAGGAGTACCACAGACATGTTAATGAGGATCCTATTTCCTGAGACTGCTTGGATACTTTGTTGGTTTGCCTCTAAATCTCCTTCTAGAAATAAAATTCTTTTTTATAAACATCACTGGAGAAAGCAGGCCTGTGATCAGACATCTGTGTGCACAGAAACAGACTGGAAGGCATCAGGGCAATGGAGAGACTGGGAGAATCTGTCTGTGAAGCTCAAATTTGACCAGCCAGACTAAACTGCGCTGGCAACAGAGAGCTGCTGGGAGCCTTTGGGAAAGCTAGACTGGAAGCCGGGGGGCGGCCCCCCACCCCCCAGCCCAGAAAACAAGAGGCAAGAGGAAGCCAGCCTACCCTTCAGGCTCTGCTTCCTTCTCAGAGAAGTGTGGGAAATGTCTACACCAGATGGGATGGTGGGGCTTCCTGGGCTGTGAGGAAAACAGTGGAGCCTAGGCTCCAGAGCCACCAGGAGACAAGTGACAAGATTCCGGAGAACAAAGGCTATCAGGGTATCTTTTTTTCACACAATTCCCCCTTGAAAATAGCTGTGGTTCTCACAGAGCAATAGTGGCTGCTGGGAGGGAATAAAAATAAAACGGAAGCCAGCAGGCTCTTGCCACTGAGGACAGGATTCAGACACTTCTAGGATGGGGGGCCCCAGGAAACATCCAGAGGATTTGGTTGAGAGAGGCTGGCACAACCTCACATTGTCTCAAGCGTAAACTAGCCCAGATTTCTTTTTCATATTAGAGGAAAATCTGTAGAAAGATATTTTGGAATTTCTGGGTTTTGTTTTGTTTTTGTCCATAAAAGTTGAAAAATAAAGGAAAAAAAATAGATCCTAGATAGAGATCTGCAGGTGTGGTGCATTTTGCAATCTTAACTGCTAGAGGCCCTCCTCTAAGGAGACAGAGTTGTTTTCGAGCTGCTTGAATTTGAGCTGACCTTGTGACCTAATGTGGCTATAGAGCTCTGGGGAGCTCTCCATGTATGGAACCCACAGGTGTCAAGAGTGTGGCTGCAGTGGTTGAAGGCGGACGAGTGGAAGCACCCAGATTTCAGTCAGCACTGATTGTAGGTATGTGACTGAGCCATCTTGGACCACCAGGCCTTAAGCAAGCTACTGATGACTGCATCTGTCTGAGTCAGCCCAAGCACAACCACAGAGCCACCTTCCAGTGGAGCTGAGTCCAAGCTCCTGACCCATGGAGCTGTTAGCAAGACAATGACTATTAGACCACAACATTTGGTTATGGTTGGCTGTTCAGTAATAGTTAGCTGATAAAGAAATTAGAAGCTGGACCTATATTCCCAGATATTTAGAAGGCTGAGGCAGGAGTACAAGTTCAGGCCCTGTCTGTGGAACAGAGTGATTTCAAGGCCAGCCTGAACAAGTTAATGGCATCATACCTGAAGACATAGTTCAGCAGTTAAGACTACTTGTTGCTTGTACTCCCAAAGGTACTGGGTTCAGTCCCTGGCACCCACATGGTACTTTATAACCTTGGACACCAGTTTCAGGGCTCCAACACCCTTTTCTGAACTCCAAGGACATCAGATTCACACATGCTACACACATATACATATAAGCAAAACACCCATGTATGTATACAATAGAATAAATACAACTTTTAAAAAGTTAAAAAAGGGCAGAGGAGCTGAGTGTGTTGGTATGCGCCTTTAATCTCAGTACTCAGGAATCAGAGGCAAGTTCACTCTGTGAGTTTATAGGCCTGTCTGAATTACAAGAGTGAGTTCCAGGCCACAGAGTGAGATCCTGTCTCAAAAAATGGAATTGGGGCTGGGAACACAGATCAGTGGTAGAGCGTTTGCTTAGCATGAATTAGGCCCTGGCTTCAAGCCCTAGCACTGAGGAAAAGAGATAAAGGAAGGGGGTGGGGAGAGAAACGAAAGAAAAAGAAAAAGTTATTAATTAGAACTCGGAAGTTATATCAACCTTGTATAACATTTGACATTGATTTTAGGACTGAGGTTGGGGTGGCAGGTGACAGAGGGTTGGGATATATGGTGGTGTTTGTAGCTATGAGACCTCGAAGTCTGTTTGGAGGGAGAAAGAACTTTGTTTTAGGGAGGAGTATGAAGCAATGGCTTTTAATGATCACTGAAAAATCCCTGAAAATCTCTCCTTGTTCCTGCCTTGTTCCGCCATGGTAGAAGCCTATCGTATGTTCTGAGCTTTGGCCTCAAGAGACCTGCAGACTTCACTTTTACCTTCTCAGAAAAAAAAAAAGTCTGCCTCCTGGACAAGCCCAAGCTAGCTTGCTAGGAAAGCTGAGTGAAGGAAGAGAGGTGAAGGGCTCGGATGACAGCTGACAGCTTCAGGCATGTGAGGCTGACACTGCTCAGCCCCCAGCAGTGTGCCCAGCAGAGCAGCCCGAGTCTGACCTACAGAGTCATTGGTGGATAGATGGCTGTGGTTTGCATCAGACTTTCTAGATGAGAACTTTAAGATAGCCATGATGAATAGAGTCAAGAAAATAGATGAAAAGATGAGGGATTTCACCAGACGATAAAAGTTATCTCCAAATACTGAAAAAGAAATGCTATAGAAGTCAGGCATGGCAGCACATGCCTATAATTCCACCACTTGGGAGGTGGAGTCAGGAGGATCAGGAGGTTCCAGGTCACCTGCTTGGCCACATGGAGGTTCGAAGCCAGCCTGGGTTACTGGAGATGCTGTCTCAGCCACATTCAAAGTCTCCCTCTCAAGAATAAAGAAGTAAATAAAAGAAGGAAAAGAGAAAGAAAGGGTAACACAGTGGTGGAAATTAAGAACGCAATATATGGTTTGATCAAAGAGGCCATGTAGTAACAAGAAAGAAGAAAAACAATAAAAAATGATAAGAATAAGGTGACAGAGAATGTGAGTTTAAGTGAATTGACATTCCATTAAATAGATCATGATTGTCAGGATTAAAAACGATGATATGAATTGACTAAAAGTATAAACAAAGAAAAGAGAAAGGGGCAGAGAAAAAGGTAGCCTAGCCTGGTTCTCTAAACACAGGCAGCTGCAAACTAGTACCAGGCACAGTAGACTAGACAAAGAAAATTTCAGAGTTACAAAGTATCAGCTCTGGGCTAGCTATTAAAGTGCTTGTCTTACAAGCTGGAGGACCCGAGGTCCTTTCCTAGATCATATATTTAAAAAACAAAACAATCTAGGCATAGTAGCATGCCTTTGCAATCCTATGGCTGGAGACTGGAGACAAGATGATTTCTGGGGCAGCCAGTGAGAGACCCTGTCTCAAAAAGAAAAAAAAAATGGTCTGCACCTGAAGAAGGGCACTCAAGGTTGTCCAGGGTTTCCACCCACATCTATCTGAAAAAAGAAAAAGTCAGTTCAGCAGGAAAAGATCAATCCCAAATCTGATGCGCCTACAAATGTAACCTTAAAAGTATAAAGCACACAGGGAAAACAAAGTGGTAAAAGCAAATCCACAACCATGATGAGAGATTGATTGATTTGAACATACCTCCTTGGCAAAGGATACCAAAGCACTGGCAGAGCCTAATATGAACAATCTGAGTGTCAGTCTACCCTGACAGGGACAAAAGCCACAACACTGCAGGCCAGCACACACAAGTATTTACAAAGATACCAAGTGCTAGGTTTTAAAAGCAACTTTCAACAAATTTCAAATAAATTAAATGGTGTTTAGCATAGTCCTTGACCACAATAAAATTAAACTATAAATCAAAAATATTACTAGGAAATCCCCAAGTGTTCTGAAAATTAAATGATCTAAGTAACCCAAGGTCAAAGAAAAAAGTTATATGAATTAGAAAATAGTTTTAATTGAATAATTAAAAAATGCATCAAACATTACAGCTAAATTCAATGTGGAGTGTACACCTATAATCTCAGCAACTCAGGAGGCCAAGTTTTAAAGATCACAAGTTTGAGGCCAACCCATGCTAATTTAGCAAAATGGCGATTCTAGAAGTGGCAAGATGGCTCAGTGGGTAAGGGTGCTCGAGTCCTAGCCTGAAGACCTGAGTTTGATCCCAAGGACTCGCCTGGTAGAAGGAGAAAACCAACTCTCAAAAGTTGTCCCCTGACTTCCACATATGGACCATGGCACATATATCCCCCCCCATATACACATATAAACAAACATAATAAATTTAAAAATCATATCTTCAAAATTATGGACATTGTGGGGAAGATAATGCGTGGCCTAAGATGTGATAGAGGAGAAGCTGGGATCAGCTCAAGTTAAAGGCACACACACATATATACACACACACTCACACACACATACACACGGGCACACACACGTATATACACACACACATACCACATGCACACACATACACACATAGACACACACACACACACACACACACACACACACACACGTCCCAAATCTAAACCCAAAGGAAGCAGAAGGAAAGTGATAATAAAGATAAGGATATAAGTTGATGAAATAAAAAAATGAATGTTGCATTAAAGAAAATCAACAAAGCTTACATTGGTCTTTCCAAAGAGACTAATAAAACTGAAAACTTTAGCAAGATAGATGGGATGGGGTGAGGGGAAGCACAAATTACCAATGTTGGGAGTTTAAAAAAAAAAAGAACACCACCACTATGGAGTTAGAGACATTAAAAAAAAGTCTAATCAGAGAATAATGTGAACAAAAATAATTCTGATAATACAGATGAAATAGATTAAC